AGGTCTTGGGCAGGAGAGGGGCAGTCTCCTGTCTGAGTGCGGGTCCAGCGCTCGGTGCTTTTCTAGCTTCCGGGGTCCTTCGCTCACTGCACCCTTCCCTCCCGCTAGAATGGTTGGTTACATCTGTAGCCATAACGACCCCATGAAACAAGAGCACCTGCCCAGGTGTCTCAAATACCAACCAAGTACTTCATCGACCCCACATCCACTCCAGTGCCAGCCAGTTCCAGCCAGAAGTCACTGTCATCTTCCACACCCGGGTACCTGAGTGCGGGCAGCTGTCAGCAATGCTTGCCAATGGATTTGGTAAGAGACACCCTTTCATATAACCTGCTTACAGAACTCTAGATCATTCTGCCCTAAACAGATAAAGACAAGCCCAGAAGCCTTGGGTGGAAAGGGACAGAGCTCCAAGTCTCTTGCAAGGAGAGGCTTTACTCAGGTTCTAGATGTGACCTGTGAGCTGGCTGGCGCCTTCTCTCTAACCGATTAGAGAACCTGTGTGAGCAGTTCCTGTCTTCAGTACTTCAATGCTAACATCTCAGAACTCTTTATCTCCAAGTCTGAGAACTAAAGACTTAAAAGTTCTGCCAGGCGGTGGTGGCGCACGCCTTTAATCCCAGCACGTGGGAGGCAGGCAGATCTCTGTGTGGTCTTAGATGACAGATTTATGGCTCCAGGTGCCCAAGTCAGAGCTTATAGCTTTGTGCTGAGGCTGGTGGCCTGGCCCTCAGCAGCCCAGCCACTGGGAACAGCAGCAGAGCACTCGAGTATTCCAGCTCCAATCCTCAGGGTCAGGACCCTCTCTGCCTTCAAGGCCTGGAAACTGTTTCTAAAATGTAAGTCCATCTTGTCACTTCTAACAACAGGCAAAATCTAGACCGTGCATGGACTGTTGCTCCAGGCACTAGGTAGAGCTCCTCCTGGCATCCAAACATTTCTTTCTGTGAGCTTCTAGGCAGGAAAAAACTTCTAGCCTCTGCCTTTGCCCCCACCCCTCTCTCTGGGCCACAAATAAATGCTCCAAGGCAGCAGGAAGCCCACTGGGTAGTCTTCCGTTTGCACCAATGCTCTGGACGAGCCTGCAGCCTCAGAAGCAGGCGCAGCACTCAAGAACACATTTGTTAAGTATGTCCTCAGGGTGTGCTCTGAACACTCAAGGGCAGCATTACTTTCATTTTACAGATAACTGTAGCTCTCCGTTAAGCAATTTATCCAGGATTTCTAAGCAAACTAATGTAAATAGAATTCAAGGCAATTCTCTTATTCTTGTTCGAAATGGAAGGTGACAAATGCCATTTGAATTCTCATCTGAATCTGAGCCGGCCCCCCGGGCGGCTTCCCTTCAGCCAGGCAGTCCTGCTACACTTGGATCTCACTCATCTCCACATACCTGAAGAAGGAAACTACCACGAATTCTAGGAGAGCCTTTGGATAGGATGAGGCGCACACATGCCGGTTTGCAGAAAACTGACTGCTCCAAGACACAGGACAAGCCTGAAAGCCCATGTGTTCAAAGGGGACAGAAGGTTCATTTGTAACCAAAATAAAACGGTCAACTCTCAGTCCCAAATAGAAACATTCTGGAACGCTTTTTTAAAAAAGTATCCCCAAATGTTCCTTTAGTTAGGAATACTGCACACTAGTTCAAAATATGATTGGGCCGAATAACTGACCGTCAAAACTCCATCTAGTATATAGTCAGGTTAAGTGTTTTTAACTCAGTCACAAATGTGAAAAGCTGATGCTTCGTCCCTCTGGTCCATGACTCAAATGGTTGGAGTGAACAGAGTGTGGGCGGAGGAGGCTGCTGGGATATACAGAAACACAGTAGGCAAGGTAGTGAAATCACAGGCAACTGCTGCATATCCGAAGTTCTGAGGAAAACCTAGGGCAGATGCCAATTGATTCTTGACTCCCTCCATTCCTAAATCCAACTCCTCACCCCCAGGACACAGACCATTCCTACCTAAATCCAACTCCTCACCCCCAGGACACAGACCATTCCTACCTAAATCCAACTCCTCACCCCCAGGACAGAGAGCCAGCTCCTACTCACTTTACCTCTCAACCAAACACCACTTCCACAAAGCTCGAGGACCGGCTGGAATGGTCTAGTCCTGAGCACCACCTCTAGCCCCTAGCACATCACCGGCCTCGGTGTAACCACACACACTCTTAGGCTCTGTCATGTTCCCTTCTAGTTTAAAGACTCCACTAGGCTGTCCTTCCAGTCAGGATGCTTCAGATTAAGCAGGCACTCCTAACTTCAGCAGATGAAGAAAAAACCACCAGAAGAGTAGAGGTCAGCTGAAGTCACGTCAGGGCAAGGGGGGCGGGGCTGAGTCCAAAACTGAACCAGGAAAGGAACCCCAGTAGGCTTTAGGGACTTAGATCTCTCTGTCCCTTCAAAATCCACCTCACTTGGGATGACATCTTTCTTGCTCTGGGTTACATATCTATTCTGCCTTAAACATTTTTGTTGTTTGTTTTCCAAGACAGGTTTTCTCTGTATAACAGCCCTGACTGTCCTGGAATTCACTCTGTAGACCAGACTGGCCTCGAACTCACAGAGATGATGTGATGCTACCCCCTGAATGCTGGGATTAAAGGTGTACACCACCGAAGGCTTGGCTTTACATTCACTCATAACAGGAATTGGGAAAGAGCTCCTTCCCAGGGCAGCATGCCCACCTCCAAAGCACAGAAGCCCCAGCTAGCTTGCAAGACCACCCAATTCCTTCAGCTTTTCCAAACAGCCAACCCAAGCCAGCTGGCTTCTGTCCTACCAGGCCTGGCTTGCAGACCATAGAAAACCTCCAAATGTGGCTCTGCACCAACCACGCTAAAACCGCTCTTAAAAATAAGCCAGGCGATGGTGGCGCATGCCTTTAATCCCAGCACTCGGGAGGCAGAGCCAGGCGGATCTCTGTGAGTTCGAGGCCAGCCTGGACTACCAAGTGAGTTCCAGGAAAGGCGCAAAGCTACACAGAGAAACCCTGTCTCGAAAGACCAAAAAAAAAAAAAAGGGTGCTTCAAGCCGCAGGAAAATGTAATGGAATTCAGTTACTATCACAAAAGCTACTACTTGGAAAGAAAAGTCAAGGACTTTCCCGAAGGTCAAGCCATGGCTTAAGAAGTCTTGGTGATATTTTAGCGTGTTTATTAGCTGGTTCCTAAAGTGATTTTCTTGTGTGCTTCCAAGAACTCCTAACAATGTAATTATCTAAAATGTCTATCAAGCATCCAAGGCCATACGAAACCACATCTGTCTCCTAGGTCAGGCTGATAGCGTTATTTCTTGTGCAATTTAGGGTGAGACTCTCCTTTCTTATACAACCTAATAGACCCCTAACTTCTCACCTAACCACTTCTAGAATGTAGACTGAGCACATACACCCCTTTTCATATACTAACTGGTCGCCAGCACTCAGTCGACCTCTTTTACCACTCCCATTTTGGGTTGTAAAAGCAAGCCTGCCGGACACTGCCTGGTGACTTTGCTCTGCCCGAGGACTGCTGTCGCTTGGGTTTATAACCGGATTCCTTTGAGACTTGGGGGGAACTGAGAGAATACGGAGAACTGAGAGGTAGAAGGAGAAAGAAAAGGATTTTTGAAGAGAGAACTTGAAGACAAGACAGAGAAGAAATGAGAACGGAAGAACTAGCTGGGTAAGAACTGGAGAGGAATGAACTAGACGGGAAGAACTAGATTGAAGGGTAAAAACAGAGTACCAGAGGAACAAGATGGAAGATGAGGAAGATTCAGATGTGGAAGAGCAAGATGAGAGAGACTGAGATGAGATGGGAGAGGAGCTGAGATGGGAAAGAACTAGATGGATGAGAACCTAGATGGGGCAGAACTAGGATGAAGGAATTAAGACAGAACCTCGAGGGGGACAGCAGATAAATGTAGAGAGAAATCAGGCAAGAAAGGAGCTAGGCACGAGCGCAGAACAGAAGCTGTGTAGACAGAGAACTGACACAGAATAATGAAGTGTATGGACTAAGGAGTTTCGTGTACATAGATTCATTTCCTTTCATCAAGGATTAAATTATAAGCTGGTTGTAGATTCTTCCCGGACCCTCATTGCCCCTGATTAATGGGGAGGGGGCAGGGTTGGAGAAGATGGCTCAGTGGTTGGAAGCACTGACTGTTCTTTCAGAGGACCCAGGTTCAATTCAAAGCACCCACATGGCAGCTTATAACTGTCTGTAACTCCAGTTCCAGGGGATCCGACACCCATGACCAAACAAACCAGTGCACATGAAATAAAAATAAAAAATAAAATGAATGAGGGGCTGGAGAGATGGCTCAGTGGTTAAGAGCACCGGCTGATCTTCCAGAGGACCTGGGTTCATTTCAAGTATCCACATGGCTGCTCACAACCACGTGGTAACTCCAGTTCCAGGGGATCCAACGCCCTCTTCTGGCCTCCACATTCACCAGGCACTGAGGTGGTATCCGTACATGCATGCTTTCAGACAAACACATTGGAGACATTTTTCTGGGGACAGAGAGAAGGGAGCTCCAGTTGTGGTCCTAGCAAGAGTCACCCAAGAGTACAGGGACAGTCCAGGGCACCAGTCAAGATATGAAATAAGAATCCATCATGTCTTCTGAGCTTTCAACAGTTTCAAGTTTTTGTATTTCACAATTTATATTTTTATTAGCGTCCATATTCTGCTAAATAAAAGCAGTAACAAGACATTAAAAAAACTATACAATTTATGTCTTGAGAATTTAATTTCATTCAAAAAACAAAACAAAACAAAAAAACTTGGTGTACATTTACCTAACTTAAAAATGTTGTTTCATCCATGGTCTAAGATACATGAATGTGGAAGACTTGATTTCCATTACTCAAAATCACCCCGTTAGTATTTTAAAATGTTTTACAACAGAAAGCTTGTCTTCCCAATAAAAAAAGATCCAGTCTCATTCAGCATGTAAAAAATAATTTAAAGCATGCACACTCACACATACACAGAATCAAAGCTAAGACTTTCAGATCCACTTTTATTTTTTTCCTCCTCACATACAGAACTTCTCACACATTTCTTGCAGTTAAAGTCACTTGATGTTGGCAAGGTACCATTTTATCCCTAAAACTTGGTTGGCATCAAAATATGACAGTTACCAGTGTTAAATCCATAAAATATTTACAGAGCATAGCACATTAAGCTTTAGACGTTTGGCAATTACACACAGAAGATGAGACCCCCACTCTGCATGTTTGGAATTGGGAGCTCACTGGTCCCTATCTGGCGACCGTACACTGGTTCAAAGGGCAGCAGAGGCAGCAGGCAGTTACTTCAGAGGACACTGAACACTATGATCTGGAAGCACGTTATGATGTCATCCCAGTGTGTGTACCACACCACCTCCTCCAAGGTGGCCTCATATTCCTAGAATGGCAGGTCCAGCTGATACAAAATGGAGACAGCACAACATTTATTCGTGGAGAGGCCTACTCCTACTGGCGCACTGTGACTTTGAACACAACTCGTCCCAAAAACTTGTCACGTTCATCCTTGTTTTTGAGGTTTTGTGATCCATCGATTTTGCACTCAACGGTTGCTTCTTTCTTGGTGGCACTGGAATCAAAGAGGACCTGGACGGCGACGAGGGGCTGTCGGTACCCGACCTGGCAAACGGAGCAGCACACGTTAGTTCCCACTCTTCGGTTAACTCACAAGGAGGAGCCCAGCTGCAACCCTTTTTTTCTGAAACAAGGTCTCGATTTGTAGCCAGGCTGGTTTTTCATTTTCTAGGCTCCTGCCTCAGGATTAGACAAGTCCCTACCCTATCTTACTTACTTTGTAAAATTAAGTCTATGGATTTAGCCGACGATTTTATCTTCTTCACCTTCCTTCTCACTAGGGCTCTTCTCTCAGCAAGCTCTGAGAGCATCCTGTGGGTGATACGCCAGTTGACTTATCCTGATGCCCTGATCCCTGGCACTTACCCATTTCCTTCCCAGGAGTTCAATGTTTCCACCCCCCTGCAGTGTAGGCATATTTTAAAGTTACAGCATTATTGTATTCTGATCCCAACATATTGATTAATACATTCCACTTACAAATATACTTTTACGAGATTCTAACTGTTCCATATATGCTAAAAGATGATGTATATTTGCTATGGGCTCAATTATACATTACCATATTTGACAAATATTTGACAAATATTTATAAGCTCAACCATTCTGATAATTTCACTTATGCACACCCTTTCTATGGCATAACTGGGATATGTGCAACACTCCTTGTGATCACTCTGGCTAGTACGTAGGAACAAGCCTACTGATGGCTGATTCAACAAGAACAACAAATGCTAGAGTTTTCCAGAAAAGCTGGCACACAAACTCAAAATTTATATTCTCCCCACATTCTTACTGATGAACAAAAAGAAGTGTGACTTTACAATGTGGAAGCCTAGCTGACCACCTTAAGAGGTTGTGGTCAACACATAATAATGGACTCAGTCAGTCAATAATGACCCTTCCTATATGACCTCGAGAAGAATACATTCACTCTCTCCCCAAAAATACACAAATAAATTTAATCAATGAGAAAAATTGATTCCAAAAACAAAAAATTAAAATTCCAAAAACAAAAAACTGCACCATACATACAAACTCCAATCAAGCCCCTTCCCCCCCACCCCCCGCCCCCCAATCTCAGACTCATTCTGAAGCATACAGAAGCATGAACCGGAGGAGCTGAGAAGTTGTTCCAGATCCCAGGCTGCCAAGGTGCCACAGCATGGCCTCTCACAAGGAAGATGCCTATAAAGGCGCATGCTTGTACTTTAGCCCCATAATGCCCAAGTGAAAAATGCATGGATGGGTTAAGATACATACTAAAATCTGGTAACATGCTTTCAGAAAACATACTACTCTAGCCATTTTGAGTTGGGAATAATTTCAAAATAAGTTTAAAAATATGACAAAACTTTGTGTGTTTTTTTTTGTATACATATATTTCAAAATCTTAAAATCCAAGTCCTACTGTGTTTAGATGAGTTTTTATTTTTACACCTGACCTGTGAAGAAGACCTACCACTTCCCAAACAAAAGCATCAGTACCACTCTGAATCTGGATACACGCTCTGCTGTGCCGTCCATCAGTGGGGCATCTCCACTAGCCCTCAGCCATTGTTAAACCCAACAGACAGTGTGGATGATGAACGACAACATGCATGTGCACCTACCACAGACGGGCTACCTCAGTATATGCAGTTTCCTAAGGGATGACTCTAAATACTTACGTGCCGTTTTTTCCCATAGTATGGAAAATATTTTAAGTCTATAACTCCAAAGTCAGGATAAGTTGATATATTTGCTATGGTTTCATCCTAGAGTTGAAAACAAAAGAAATCCTTTTCAGCTCACAGTAAAGGTTTTAAAAATTACTGACAGCAGTTATGACAAAATTAAAGAAAATACGATGCTTCAGCCACATTAATTACAAGTGTGTTTGACAACTGCTTGTCTCTGCTGCTGAGACAGGTCTCACCTTGTAGTCCAGCTTTGTCTTAAAGCCGTGGCAATCTGCCCACATCGGCCTCCCAAGTGCTAAGGTTTCAGGCATGCACTAGCACATCTGGCTGCTCCTCTTGATTATAAATATTACATAACGAAATGCGTCAACATAAACTATCCGGGTCCTCCTTATACTTCCTGATCCACCCTAGGGTCCCTCCTCAGTGATAGTGAGCTCTGCTGCCCATGAACTCCTATTCGCCCTCTATGTGGGCACAGACAGCAGAAGCGCTCCAGTACGGTGGGGTGAGGTTTTCCTAATGAATGAAGTACCGTGCTGCCAGACAGAACGTAATGGCACACAAGCTAACAACCAGGAGAGCAGCACTCAGACCTACAAGTGGAGGCTACAGTTCAGAACCATTACCAACTGTAATAAGGATAAAGCACGACCCAACCAACAGAAAAAGCAGTCAGTGTCCATGAATAAAGAGAGAAAAGCACCAAGTTCTACATAAGTCAATCGCTAAGTGTCTGTGCATTCACATCCCAATCACGGGCGCCCAAGTGGATCCCTAGCAGAGACAAACATGAACTCCACAAACCAGCCCCAAGCTGACAAGCATCACTCAACACCCGGGCTTTTGATCTGGATGAACTTAGACTTGTGTGTGATGCTGAAGTTCATGCGTGCTGAGCACACTTGCTCCCGCCGCCCATCTGCAGGCCAGTCTGTGTGTGGTGTCTACTTCTGAGAACACACACAGAAGCCATGTGACTGCAAAGACAGCAGCCCTGGTCTCTGCTTCTTGACTTTGTGACCGGACGGACGCACTTGTGAAGGCACTGTGTACGCTGGTGACACCCTCCCTTCCACTGGCGTGCTGTAAGCTTCTGCTGTTTTCCGAGACAGATTCTGGCTATGTAGTCCAGGTTAGATTATAGCATTTATCGTCATATAGCAAAACAAACAGCAAAAAGGGACAAGAAAACCCAACATCTAATGATCTAAATAAAACGATATGAAAACCAGTAGAAAATGACTAAGAAACAATGGCCACATCTAAGAATGACCACCACTCCAAAAGGTGTGTTCCTAATCAGGGGTGTTCAAGGCAAGTGCCGCTCACTACACTATGTGGGTCAATCCCTAGCACTGAAAAAGAAACTTACAATCTTGTATTTTAGGGCGGGCGGTGGTGGCGTATGCCTTTAATCCCAACACTTGGGAGGCAGGGGCAGGTGGATCTCTGTGAGTTCGAGGCCAGCCTGTTCTACAGAGTTCCAGGACAGCCAGGGCTGTTACACAGAGACTCTATCTCGAAAAACCAAGAATTATATTTTACATGAAGAAAAAGTCACACACTGATGGGTGTGCTTCCGTGTTAACATTAGTAGTTTTCATTGAACCTATTTTACTTAAACACGACACTAATGTGACTTACAAGCAATCGTATGTTCATGTTAAGAGCTCAGAAGTATATGGTAACTAGATTTTTAGAAGAATTTATCAGGAAGAGTTCAGCTACTGGGCAGATGAGATGCTCAGAGGGTAAAGCTCACTGCCATAGCGGACAACCTGAGTTTGATCTCCAGGACTCCCACAGTAAAGAAAATGAGCTCCTCCAATCTCACACATGTGCTTGTACAAGTGCACGCACACATGCATATATACATAAACATCGAATAACAAAAAACTCTTCAGCTAACATGTGACATGCATGTAGTTTTATTTTAAATCAACCCCCTTTTTGAGACAGGGTCTGAATGTCCTGGAACTCACTATGCAGCCTCAAACTCACAGAGATCCACCTTCCTCAACTTCCCAAGTGCTAGGATTAAAGGGGTACACCACCACACCAGGCTTACCTTCACCCCCGAGTTAGGGTTTTTGTCTTGTTTCATTTAATTTGGGGGCACAGAGTTTTACTAGGTAGCCTTAGCAGGCCTAGAACTCACTATGTAGATCAGGTTGGCCTCAAACTCAGAAATTTGCCTGCCTTGGTCTCCCAAGTGCTTGGTATTAAAGGTGTGCGTCACCATGCCCTGCTTAAGGGAGGATCTTACTGTGTATCTCAGGCTAGCTTCAAACTCTTAATTGTCATCGTCCTGAGTGCAGACATTACAGGCATTTGACAGTAGACCCAGATAAACTTCTAGTTTTCAGTTTCTTGGAGAACTGAGTGTACCATGTGACCTGCACACCCACCAGAAGAGGAGCTACAGACTTCGTTCACTCACTCTACACTGGCTGACACTCTCAACTACCAAAAGGCAGCTCCAAGGCGACAGCTCAGTGAGGCCTGGACAGTAGCAGCACCTGGACCCAGGAGCACAAGTCCTGGACTCTCCCCAAGAACTACTGAGTCAGAACTATAGGAATGGGGAACCAACAAGCCCAAGAGATTCTGTGGCATGATGACATTTGCAGAGCAAAGTCTCTGCCCACGTAAGAAATTTATCTCTGACTTAAGAAATGCTGTTTTCTCCTCAACTTTAAATGCAGCATCTTAGGCAGCTAGTTCTCCATAAACCGGGGATGAATGCCAGTGCCTGGCACACTGACAAATTTAGAGCTCAACTGTGCTTCTTTCGACCTTTTTGACCCATTGTCTACACACGTGTCTTAGCTGTATTTGCAGCACGGAAAGAAAACAAGTTATAGGAAAGGAGGAAAAGGGACGGAGAAGAAAAAGAATGTCTCCTCCACCTTAAGGCAAAGGAGCAGATTGCATTAATTCCCGGGTGACACTGATAATAAATAAGCACACCAATTTTAAGACTTGAAAGAAAAAATCCTGATACAGGACGGGACTGCTGGTGTTGTAATGCCAACTTCATTACCAAACCAGAAAAATACACACCCTGGGATTGATGAGATGCAGTGTATGCAAACAAATAGAAACTGCCCTTTTTAATGGTGTATTAGCTAACAGGGGATCACCCTAAAAAGCCTGCTGATACCTATTTTAAGTATTTAAAGAAGGTCAAAGTGCTGGCGTGGCGGTGGCACACACCTTTAAGCACTCAGGGGGCAGAGGCAGGCAGATCTGAGTTTGAGGTCAGTCTGGTCTACAGAGTGAATTCCAGGTCGGCCAGGTCCACGCAGAGAAACCCTGTCTTGAAGGAAAAAAAAAAAGAACCACCATGAAAGCTTTAGTGATTTAAATACTAACCTTTGTCTCACATGCTATCCGTGGTGATCCCTCTGGCATCAATTCGATTATCTAAGGTTAAGAAACATGGAGGAGTCAGTCAGTGCATATAAATGCAATGGAACCTCCGCTTCTGTTGCTGGGGATCAGGGAACAGCAGCTCAGATTAACATTACTCTGCAGATTCATCTCAGTCGTACTAACCTGTGTTTTACAACATAAAACAAACCTTCCAGTACAGTGAAGGGCTGTACTGAAGCGATTCAGTCATGAATTTTGCCACATTTAAAACAACAAACCCTTAAGTTACAGGGGCAGAGTATAACAAACTATTCTACTCACTTGTTTTGAAAAAAGAGCTTGCTCATAGCCTAGGCTAGCCTTGAGCATACTCTGTCTCCACCTCCCAAATGCTGGGATGACAGGTACGCACCACTACAATCACATACAATAAAATATTCATTATGAAATATGTTCACATGGGGTTGGGGATTTAGCTCAGTGGTAGAGCGCTTGCCTAGCAAGCGCAAGGCCCTGGGTTTGGTCCTCAGCTTGGGGGGGGGGGGCGGATATAAGAAATATGTTTGCAGCTATCCTGTCCCCCTAAAGGCACATATTGAGAAGAATCCCAACTTATGTCTCCCCCACAGTGTAGGTTTTTGTGGTGCTAGGATGAAAGCCAGGGCCTTGACCATACTAGGTAAACACTAAATCTGAGCTGTAACCCCAGCTTTTGGATCTACTTTTAGATTTGCAGCCACCCATCTACTTAGAAATTAGCTTTCTTCATTTCTTTGTGTGTGTGTCGAAGGGGATAGATGTGGAAGACCGAGGACAAACTGCAGGATTTGGGTTTCTTCCTCCACCACGTGGGCAATGGAGTCAAACTCAGGTCAGGCTGGTGGCAAGGCCTTCATCACCAGCCCCATCTTCTAAGGGTTACCGTTGTTGTTCTGCACTCTGAATTCAAGTGCAGTTCTGTGCAAAGGTTTGCAAGCTACAAAGAGGCATCCAAAAGTCAGGCTGTTGAAGCTACAGAACGACATGGAGAGCAGCAGGAGTCTCCACTCCTAACAGCTCTGGAAGCAACTGATGAGAAAAACCGTGCCAGCTGGATCTGATGCCGCCCTGTGAGCCTGCAAAGCCAGTCTATAAAGCAAGCATGGCCTCTGATTCCCATCATGCAAAGGCCATTTCTAAGAAAAGAAACTCAGAGGGTGGTCCTCTGAACAGGAAGTAGCTTTGCAGCCATACAGCAGACACAGTGGGGTCAGTGTAGCAGGCCAGTGTTACTGAAGACATCCTCATTAACATGAATGTATTAACTCACCTTACAGCACAGATCAAGTTCCACATTCCTTCTGGCTTACTATTTTGGCCTTACTTCTTAGTTATGTCTTGTTAAACATCCCACTAGCTATATTGGCTATAACTACAACATTGTACTGTGCTCATTAGTATGTGGGTTTATTTATACCCCACTATTTAATTATATGCACCGCTATATGCTTTAGTACTATTTAGGAAACTGCATAAAATCCACAATTAAACTATATGAACCTTTTGCCATATTCATTTTCCCCCAAGCATTAACTAGCACTGCTGGCATTTTAAGTTAGTTATCTCAATGAGATGACGCTCAATAAGGCATTAACTCAGGCAAAGCAGTCTGAAAAGCAGCTATCAGCTTAGCAGCTACATCACATGTACATGACTGTTAGAAATGAGGAACAACAGAGGTAAAGTACGTACGTACTCTGTTCATTTTCACAAGAATACAAGGTTGTCCTTTGGAATAGCCAAAATCAGCATCATTCACACCACTACAATCTTGAAGCAAGGAAACTGGAAACTGACATGCTTGATAATCTGGACCAGTCTGTTTAAAAAGTATTCCATCAGGACAGTTTGTGAGATTCTTCTGTTCTTCTACAGAGTATGCTAGAAAGGAAATGTGTGTGCCAGGTTAGCCAAGACAAGATACCACACACAATCAGAAACAAGTCAAACCATTCCCCAAATGAATGTTTTCCAAGACAACAGCAGCACTGTGAATTTCCAGATAACAACAGCCAGTGCTCAGCAAAGGGTACGTTACTTCCTTTGCCTGGTAGCAGCAGCCAGTGCCCTAAAGCTTCCTGCTTCCCAGAGTGCCCAGGCTGGATTACAGAGAGCCGTTTCCCTACTATGTCTGGCACCAGCAACAGCTACAGAACCATCAGAAAATGCTGTATGTGCCCGACCTCAGCAACAATGGCAAGGATGTGCAAAGGTGTGGCTGCTGCCCCTTGGGGCTTCACGTCTAGTGGGGAAACTATCATTTCACCACTGCAGGGCTATGGAAAGAAACAGCACTCTAACCATTTATGGCAAGGGGACCCCACTGACCTGAAAAGCACAGGGGATGTGTGAGGTAAGGTGGCAGGCAGGATATAGACAGGCAGAAGCTGGACCATGTAAATTTTGTAAAAGCTGTGAAGAACGGAGGCAGAAGGGTTGCCAAAAGAAGCACGATGTGCCAGCAGCAATGGCGCACACCTTTAATCCCAGCACTTGGGAGGCAAAGACAAGCGGATCTCTGTGAGTGCCAGGCCAGCCTGGTCTAGAGTGAGTTCCAGGACAGGCTCCAAAGCTACACAGAGAAACTCTATCTCAAAATAAAAACAACAAAACAGCATGATGCCCCATCAAAAGATTTTATACCAGGCCATGGTCACAAAGGGATGGCGATATCTGTTAGTATTTATGCTATGCAGACAGAACCATGCAGAAAAGCATAATGACCTAGAATGTGAAACAGACTCCTGATGTAGCACAGGTAAGACGCCAGCTGAGAAAGGTGTGCTGAGCATGGTGATGACAGAGGTAACTAGTAAACCAAAGAAGTAACATGTTTAGGAACCAGAAAGGAAGAAACGGGAGAAATATATGCGTTGTAGAATATCATTTTAAGGTGTGTTACTTTTGTTTATGTTGCATTTGTTTAACTCTGTGAACCTGTATTACTGTGCCTGTCTAAAACACCTGATGGTCTAATAAAGAACTGAATGGCCAACAGCAAGGCAGGAGAAAGGATAGGTGGGGCTGGCAGGCAGACAAACTACAGAGAAGGGAAATCTGGGAGGAAAAAAGCAGCAGCAGCCAGAAGAGGAGGACTCCAAGGGCCAGCCACCCAGCTACACAGCAGCCATAGAGTAATAGGAAGATTTACAAAAATGGGGGGGGGGGGGGGGGGCTGGAGAGATGGCTCAGTGGTTAAGGGCACTAGCTGCTCTTCCACAAGTCCTGAGTTCAATTCCCAGCAACCACATGGTGGCTCACAACCATCTCGTAATGAGATCTGGTGCCCTCTTCTGGCCTGTAGGCAAACAAGGAGACAGAACACTGTATACATAATAAATAAATATTTTAAAAAAAGAGAGAGAGAGAGAGAGAGAATGAGAAAAGCCCAGAGGCAAAAGATAGACAGGATAATTTAAGTAAAGCCAGCTAGAAATAAGCCAAGCTAAGGCTGGGCATTCATAAGAAATAATAAGCCTCCATGTGTATTTATTTGGGAGCTGGGTGTTGCCCCCCCCCCAAAAAAAGGAAAAACCCCCAGCAACATATATGTACAGAGTACAACTTCACTCTGGGCCAGCTGCACGACTGGCATTCAGCGGCATCAAGAAGAAGAGGTCTGAAGGACCCTTGCTCAGTGAGCCTGGTCTAGTGTGAAAGGCACTCAGAGTTAACATACATGTGAAAGTACCCTAGTGACAGCTATTAGCATGTGGATACAAGTGGGACCACAAAAAGCCATCTAATTCAATACAAACAGGAACATTTCAAAGGGAATGCTTTCAGAAGGAAATGTAGTGGGGATTTTGTTTTTTGTGATACTCTGTGGATAAAAAGGTTATCAATAGTGATGGCTAATCTAGGCTGCCATCTCCACACACTAAGGAAGAAGGAGACTCAATTGAAGAACAGTCTCCATGTGGTGATATTGTGTTCCCAAAAATATTGTGCACACTAATAAACTTATCTGGGGTCAGAGAACAGAACAGCCATAATATTAAACATAGAGGTTAGGCAGTGGTAGCACACGCCTTTAATCCTAGTATTCCAGAGGCAGAGATCCATCTGGATCACTGAGTCCAGAGCCACACTGGAAACGGCCAGGCATGGTGACTCACACCTTTAATCCCAGGAAGTGATGGCAGAAAGAATGAAAGGAATATAAGGCGTGAAAACCAGGAACTAGAGCTGGTTAAGCTTTTAGGCTTTTAGGAGCAGTTCAGATGAGATCCATTCTGGAGGAGGACACAGAGACTTCCAGTCTGAGGAAACAGGGTCAGCTGAGGAATTGGCAAGGTGAGGTGGCTGTGGCCTGTTCTGCTTCTCTGACCTTTCAGCTTTAACCCAATACCTGGCTCCGGGTTTGATTTTATTAATCAGACCTTTTAAGATTTGTGCTACACCTCCATCAAACTAGCTTAGGAGAGTATGTCTAAGGAATTTTCTTTCCTTCCTTTTTTTTTTTTCTTTCGTATACAGTGTTCTGCCTGCATGTATGCCTGAATGCCAGAAGAGGGCACCAGATCTGATTACAGATGGTTGTGAGTCACCATGCAGTTGCTGGGAATTGGACTCAGGACCTGTGGAAGAGTAGCCAGTGCTCTTAACCTCTGAGCCATCTCTCCAGCCCCGACTGAGGAATTTTCTTAACAGATAACTGATGTAGAGGGGCCCAGTCCACTGTGGGCAGTGCCACCCCTGAGCAGGTGGACCAGGGCTGTATAAAGAAGGTATCTGAGCAAGCCAGTGGGCAGCTCTCCTCCACGGTCTCTCCCTCAGCCAGTTCCTGTCCTGACCAGCTTCCCTCCATGATGAACCCTAAGCTGTTCTCCCTGACTTGGTTTTGGTGGTGGTGTTTATCGCAGCAACAGCGAGCAAACTGTAACACAAGAGAATTTGTCTTTGAGAGGGATGGGAGAGTCTGAACTCCTGGCTTCACACATGGTAAACAGGTCATCTACCTCTGAGCTACACCCCTTACATGTATTTGGTTAAAAGCAAAGAATGAGTGGGATTATTGGAGGCAACTCTGACTCTCTTCACCGATTTCTCCAGGACGTCGTTTGTAGCAAAGGGTGCTTTTAGATTGTTTGTCAAGCAGACTTTCACTTCTATACAAAATTAAATGAGAGGAGCTGGGAGGTATGAGCACATCACGGGAACACGGATTTACCAGTTTCAGAGGAGCCAGAGTCCCAACACCTGAGGAAAGCTTGGAATAAGAATGATACTAAAGCCAGGTGGTGGTGGCACACGCCTTTAATCCCAGCACTTGGGAGGCAGAGGCAGGCAGATCTCTGTGAATTCAAGGCCAGCCTGGGCTACAGAGTGAGTTCCAGGGCAGGCTCCTAAGCTACACAGAGAAACCCTGTCTCGAAACCGACTGCCCCCCCCAAAAGGTACTAAAGAAAAAGTTAATTTTAACAAAATAAAACTTTCAATTTAGAATCTATCAGGATGAGGGGGGGGACCTTTATTTTTAAACCAGATATTTGTCTTTTAGACATGAAAAGGAAATTCCTAAGAATCAACAATGACAGGTGAATCTTTAAAAACAAAACCAGTGTAGGTGAGATGGCTCAGCAGATAAAGCAGCACTGCCAGCCTGATGCCCTGAGTCCAACCCCAGAATCTACGTGAGGAAAACGCTGTTCCTACAAGATGTCCTTTGGTCGACAAACACATGCACTATACTCCCATTTTTTAAAAAAAGTAATAAAACTCCAAAACAAAAACAAAACTCCAAGAGGATTAAATGGTAAAATCAGCTCTGGCGAGTTTTTTAAATATAAACAAAAAGGAGAGAAACATAAAACCCAACACAGAGCAATACTGGAGAACCTGCAAACAGCTGAGTATGAAATGCTTCAAGTAACTGAAGGATGAACTGAAAAGCCTCATCACTTCCCAGCAAAATGGTTTGGAGGATGAAATCCAAAAAAGCATTTTAATTTTAGAGCCTTACTGAGATAAAGAAAAAAAATTTTTTTTTAAAGATTTATTTATTATGTTTACAACATTCTGCCTCCATGTATCCTTGCATGCCAGAAGAGGGCACCAGATCTCATTATAGATGGCTGTGAGCCAACATGTGGGTGCTGGGAATTGAACTCAGGACCCTGGGAAGAGCAGTCAATGCTCTTAACCTCATAGCCATCTCTCCAGCCCCGAGATAAATTTAAACACAAGCTGGGGATGACTCAGGCCTGTAAGCTCAGGCAAGTGGACCTAAGTTCAAGGCCAGTTTGGGCAAGACTCTACCTTAGGAAAGAAAAATTGTACTAATAAGGAAACAGAAAACAGGGCTAGAGAGATGGCTCAGAGGTTAAGAGCACTCATTAGCTGCTCTTCTATTCCAGAGGTCCTTAGTTCAATTCCCAGCAACCACATGGTGGCTCACAACCATCTATAATAATGAGATCTGGACCCTCTTCTGGTCTGCAGGCACAACTTTGCATAAATAATCAATCAACCAATCAATCAATCTTAAAACAGCTTCCATTCTGCACTCTGGTTTCAAAAGCCATCCTAGTGACTCTTCAAACATGAGTTCAATCCATGTATGTTCTCTTCTTAAATCTCCCATCTTGGTCAGTTATAGGAGCCAAGGACTGGAACTGGTCTCTAAGGACCTTCAAAACCTGGTCCTCCTTTAAGCCCCAATGTCCATCTCCAACTACTTCTTGGCTTGCTGTATCCAGCCCTTCTCCCTCTCCGATGAACCTTGAACACACTGACTTTGGATAGTTCTCTGGCTCCCTCCCCACCTCCCTTATCTTTCAGGGGTTAGTGTCACCTAGGCATCTCAGATCAGCCTTCAAAACCTCACAGCCCAGCTGGGTGTTGGTGCTCGCCTTTAATCCCAGCACTCCCGAGGCAGAAGCAGGCAGATCTCTAAATTTGAGGCTAGCCTGGTCTACAGAGTTAGTTCCAGGACAGCCAGGGCTACACAAAGAAACCCTGTCTTGAAAAGCCAATCCCCCCCCCCCCCCCCCCCCCCCCCCCCGCCAAATTAATAATAATAATTCAATGAAGTAGTTGACAAGGAGAATTCAATGGAGTATACCCTAGTGTGATGTTTCTGAGACAGAGGGGACTAGAGCCAAAGCAGCAGATGTACAAGTGTCCTCACATGAAGACATGCAAGTATAGTACTTACTAGTAATGGAGAAACTGTAAGAATACTGGCCTGAGTACTTCTACTATCTCTTTCTTCTTCTTTGGAGACTGGGTCTCATGTAGCCTAAGGTGGCCTTGGGTTTACTATTTAACTGAAGATGACGTTGACCTTCTGATCCTCCTGCCTCCACCAACCAACAGAGATTATAAGGAAGTATCCCGGCAAATGTAATGGTGAAGTGGGTGGACGCCCAGGCGCCTGCGTGCCAGGCAAGCACGACAGCTACAGCCCCATCCTGGCCTTTCTTCTATCGTTTGCAGTAAGATACTACATTATAGAAGAAGGTAAGTTGGTAAGTTATAGGGGAAGGAAAAGGATCAGAGGCCTGAGTAAAGGCTAGCAGCAATCATAGCTTTAGAGTCAGAGAAAGACAATGGGTAACCAGGCAGTCAAGCATGCCACCTGAGGGAGGGATTGCTAATCCAGGAATTACGTGGTTTTATGCAGAGCACAGCTCCACCACAAGTAATTGGCAGACTTAAAGACAAGGAATTTTAGAATGGTCTGTAAAACTGAAATGAAAAATCATGTTAATAAACTAGGTGGGAGCGGGGCATGGTGGCGCCCGCCTTTAATCCCAGCACTCAGGAGGCAGAGGCAGGCAGATCTCTGTGAATTCAAGGCCAGCCTGGGCTACAGAGTGAGTTCCAGGGCAGGCTCCTAAGCTACACAAAGAAACCCTGTCTCAAACAAACAAACAAACGCTAGATGAGGAAGACTGCTAGAGGAAAGAGGCTGAGATTAGTAAAGCCATCAGTAAGAGCCATTAGCACAAGGTACCGGGAGAAAGTCAACATGCTGGAAAGACACAGTGGTGCTGGGAAAGCTGCTCAGGGACTGGCAACCACTGGCCACCGGGGAACAACCGTGCTGAATCACAACTGAGAAGGGGACAAGGGGACCACGTGAATCCAAGCTTCAACTACTTATTCATTTGATTCTTGTTATATTCACATGAATTTGGATAAGCCAGCCAGAACAAGGAAGATGTGGGCTATAATACTTGCTAAAGAGCATCACATACTGGTGACTCTTTAACAAACATAATGTAACAAACGAATACATTAAAAATCTGACATGGGTACTATCCCAGATACAAAAGAGTCCCATAATGGGCCGTGGCACAGGCAGTGGGAGGCACCATGCTCCATTTCCAGCACCACAGAGGCACTGCTGTACAGGACACAGATTTGGCTTCAGTCTTACAACTAACAGTTGTGGTGGTATTGTGTTCCCCAAAATATTGTGTACCCTAATAAACTTATCTGGGGTCAGAAAACAGAAAAGCCACTAGATACTTAGGATAGGCAGTGGTAGCACACGCCTTTAATCCTAGCATTCCAGAGGCAGAAATCCATGTGTTCAAGGATACAGCCACAGCATGGTGACTCACGCCTTTAATCCCAGGGAGTGGTGGTAGAAAGCAGAAAGGTATATAAGGCATGAGGACCAGAAACTAGAAGCAATTTGGCTGGTTAAGCTTTTAGGTGTTGAGCAGCACAGTTCAGCTGAGAGCCATTCGGATGAGGACTCAGAGGCTTCCAGTCTGAGGAAACTAGATCAGCTGAGAAGTTGGCCAGGTGAGGTGGCTTGTTCTGCATCTCTGACCATCTAGCATTTCACCCCAATAACTGGCCCCGGGTTTGATTTTATTAATAAGAACTTTTAAGATTCATGCTACAAACAGTGAGTTTACTTGCAGATCTTCCCAGCTGTCTGTGTTTGAAAGGGGGAGAATAAGATCAGAAAACAGACTAAAGATGCTGCTTCTAAAGGCAGTTGTGTGTGGCTCTGGGCTCGGCAGGAACTCTAAGCTCTCCATCTTCTAGGACAACACACTTACGCTTTAGGAACCTCTTCAGGTCTTTGGTGAACTTTTCAAAAGTAGGCTGCTCAGACATGCTGTATGTATATTCCAAGGCAGTCAGTGGTTTTGGAAAAACCATAAGTCCTAAAAAGAGACAGGGAGGATTAACAGTAAGAAATGTTCCTGTTCCTTAGGGCCATGTGTCCACAGACACATAACAAACATTACAATTATCAACAACTCTCTATTTGGATCCAATTATGAAAGACATCTAAAAGAGCTCAAATCTTTACAACTAGTTAGACAAATGAATTAGAAACAGTCCCTCAATTTTATTATTTTCAGTTAATTATAACCATCACTCCTTACTTTAAAACATGATGTTTGCCAGGTCTGTGTGCCTTTAATTCCAGCACTTGGGAGGCCGAGGCAGGTGGATCTCTGTCACTTCAAGGCTAGCTTGGTCTACAGAGCTAGTTTCAACAAAAAACAAACTAAACACCACAAACACACAAACAAACCCCACAAATGCATGGGTTCGCGCGTGGGCGGGTAGGAGTGGGTGAGATACGCACACGTGCATACCAGAGGACAACTTCAAGTGTTTCTACCTTATCCTTGACCCGGGGTCTCTCGGTGAACCCGGAGCTGACAGTTTTTCTGCTCAGCTGGCTGGTCAGCAAGCCCGTGCGTGGCCTTCCCACCTTTACCCTCCTCACCGGAGTTATTGGTACAAGTGGCAATGCCTAGCTTTTACTGACTGTTAGGAATCTGAACTCAGGTCCTCACGATTACATAGCAAGTTCTCTTACCACTGAGCTATGTCCCTGGCTCTGACTTGGAACTTTCTTTCCCTTTTCTTTTTTTTTTTCCCCCCCAGAGCCGAGGACCGAACCCAGGGCCTTATGCTTGCTAGGCAAGCGCTCTACCACTGAGCTATGTTCCTGGCTCTGACTTGGAACTTTCTAAACTCAGATTTCTATCAAATGCTATTTTAGGTTTTTCTGTATGCTTGCTGCTACAGATAAACAACAAGCATCTTAGCATACCAGAATACTAAGAGTGTAAGTACCAGCCACCAGCAGGTGCACCTCTGCTCTGTCTAAGCACTTTATCATTCAAAATACAATTCTGAGGACATATCAAAGACAGCCTACTCTTTTAGTTAAAGAGTTTCCATTTAGAACCCTGCAGTAAATGTTCTTCCTTCAATAACCGTTGCTCCAGCACTGAAGTATGTTTGTTATATATCAAATCTGGATCACAATCAGTAACAATTTCACATCAGAAGTTGATACCCATGCATTATAGAGCAAACATACTTGTCTATAAAGAATAATATGGCTTCCAACTTTAATGTAAACATTTCTCATACCTAATTTGTACTAAATACACATGTGTTTATATATTTACTTATTTATACTGTAAAACTACAATACAACTGATAATATTATAGAACTCAGAACTTTTGAAAACACTTTACTGTTTAGATGGTTTATACAATTACAAACAGCTTAGCATTTTCTGAAGTAGGTCAGACTATGGCTGATAATAACAAAGTCATATAACTTAGATGGCAAGAAAATGAAATTTAAATTAGTGTAGGCAGAGGGCAAAAAAGTATATTAGGTGTAAACAAAAGAAACTAGAACAACCACAAAAAGTGGCTGAGAAGATGGCTCAGAAGTTCACACAGGAGAAAGACTATAGACAGGGTTCCTTAGCCTCAGCATGAGTTTGAGCTGAGAGCTCTGCTGGGAAGGAAGGCTGTCCTGCTCAGCAGCATCCTTGGCTTCTACTAGCAACTACCACTCCAGTTCCAATAACTAACAGTGATTCTGGACATTGCCAAGTGGTCTCTGGAAGACACATCCAAATTACTGACAAAGTTCTAGAGAGCAGCTTCCCACTTTGCCCACTCTCTTTGCTAACCAGATTCTACTCCTCTGGACAGGCACGTTCTAAAAACGTGTTTATCTGGGGAATCTCATGCAATGCTTTTCCTCTGGAAATGTCATCAAGACCGGGTCCTCACTAGCCTCTCTTACTTTATGGAGTTCTTTTTCATTTTTCCTAACAAGTCATTATTTAATCTGTTGGAAAGGCCAGGACCAGGCTAGGGATGTAACTTGGTGCTAGAGCACTTACTTAGCCTTTGCGGTGGGGTGGGGTGGGGAGTGGTAATGGATATACAGTTCAGTTTCCAGTATTGCCAAACAAACACTGTCAGTTCCCTGAGGCCAGGGGCCCTGTCCTACTCCCGAGGCAGAACTAGCATTCAAAAATTGTTTCAAAAGAATAAAATCAGGCGAAAAAAATGTAGTTTAGAGCCGGTTGGTGGTGGCACATACGTTTAATACCAGCACTTGGCAAGCAGAGCCAGGCGGATCTCTGTGAGTTCGAGAATAGCCTGATCTACACAGAGAGATCCAGGACAGGCACCAAAACTACCCAGAGAAACCCTGTCTTGAAATACTGAAAGAAAAAAAAAAAAAAAGAAAAAGAAAAAGGAAAAGGAAAAAGAAAATGTAGTTTATATAACCAACACTTTAGGTAAGTCTATTTTTTAGTATAACTGATTTTTAAATGACAACAGAGAATTAGGCATATAAAGAACACACTGATTTTATTCTCTAATGATGTAACCTTTTTACCACTTCCATACAAGCAATTAAAACCACAAAGCATCTATTTTATAAGACTAATAGTATAACTCAAGCCAGAGCCAAAATATGTGCTTCATATGTAACTTACTGAAGGCAGTATGAAAGTGCTATACAGTATTCATGAAACCATACCAACTCTTCATAACGATTCCAACATTCATTTCTGCTTATTCTTGTCAAAGGATTCAAAACTTACCAGTAAGTGAAACCAGCAGGTAAGTAGGAAAGAAATCGTTCACATTCCCGAACTCTAAGGTTTAACTTCTAGATGCTGTGATTTTTAAAAGCTATGATAATGTCAACACCGTTACCTGGACTAGGAATCTGGTCTCGGTATTTCGGAACCTCATCATTCAGAGTCTGGAGCATGGCCCACATTGTGAATGTGAAGAGTGCAGCCAAGAACCCATAAAAAACTAGGTAGAAGAGCAAGATCAGACCTGCAGAAGAGATGAACACACGTGAGATGTGGAGATATACACAGGGACTCACATTGGGCTATAAGGGGCAAACCAACTACTGTTCATTGCAAGGCTATGAACCCATGCTTTGCCATGCATGCAGCCAAGTATCCTCATATTGAGGGTACGGAAGTTGCATAAGCAAGAGGAGTTCTGGCAAGCAGCTGTCCCGGACCCCATGAGCCCTCCTCTCATCTTGTCCTTCCTGCAAAGTTTCCACTACTCATACGCTGGTTCAAGCTAGAACTTTAGCCGGGTGTGGCAGCACACATCTTTAATTCCAGCACTGGGGAAACAAAGGCAGCAGATCTTTGTGAGTTCAAGGCCAGCCTGATCTACAAATCGAGCTCTAGGACAGCCACAGCTACACAGAAAAACCTGTCCCAAAAAACAAAACCAAATAAGCAAGCCAAAAAAAAAAAAAAAAAGAGCTTTGAAAGTCCAGCACACGGAGGAGTGTTTCCCAAGAATTTCATGCCCTCAAAACTAAGATGACTTTAGGTGAGATAGCCTCCCCCAACACACTTAGATGTTTCTTTAAGTGGCAAGTTAAAAAAAAAATCCTCCTCTATACCTGTATTTCAGACACTTTATATACATTAAAGTTGTTAGGGTTTTGTTGGTGGTGGTGGGTTTTTTTTGGCCTCTTTTTAAAAAAAAAAAAAAAAAAAAAAAAAAAGAGCTTTTTTGAGACAAGGTCTTGATATGCAGCCTTGACTAGCTTGGAACTTGCTATGACCAGTTGGTGTGAACTCAAAGACATACCTGTTGAGTGCTGGGATTAAAGGCATATGCTACCACACCTGGCTTTGCGTTTATGTTTTAAAGGGTAAGTAGACTTAGAGAATAACCAAGAAATGTGCAGAGAAGGAAAAAAAATCACAAAGATGAAATTCACTGAAGTCTGGAAAACACTGGTTAAGCAGAAGGGCGGGCTCAGGCAGACATGCAGAGAGAAGAGGCAAGAGCAGAAGCAAGCCCTGGGCTCCAGGAGCACAGCCCTGCAGCTGCGCTGAAGGCCCCCTGTGACAGACACACTTCAACACCCAAACTTAATCCCGCCCTCTAACTGGGAAACACGTCTATCTCAAGCCAATGATTTGTTTTGGGAACACCAAAAATAACCAGTATTTCCCTCTCCTCACTTACATTCCAAGTTCTAACATTAGAAATAACTATCCTCAAAATTATATATCAGAAGTCTTATTTCTATTTCAATGTTTTTAAAAATGATGGGGGAAAACTAAACAACATTCAACTCCACCGAGTTGACATCTTACCAGTTTACTTTACTCCCATCTTAATATTTGCCAAAGTCCCTTCCGAGTAGAGACACGGCAGGGAATCCTAAGAGGACTCTCACAGGAACAAATTCAAAGGGCTTATAAATTTCTGTAATAATGAAAATTTGAACATACTTATCCATCCACACCCCACAAGTTGATACACAACTTTCTTCGATTCTCAAAGAACAAGATCCCAAAACAGATTACGCCCAAAGCTAGGTAAACTTTCTCAATTGCAGGCCAAGAATCCACTTCAAAGGGAGACAGTCTAATCAATTCCATGTTACTTTAGACTAGCATCCTACCCTTCCTCCCAGTTACCAGGAGATAGAAGTTGAGAAGACAGAAGGAAGACAGATATCACCTTCCGGCAGCATCGCTTCCCACCACCCACTTCGGTCCTGCTGCAGAAAAAGAAAAAAACAAACAAAACAAACAAAAACCTCATGGGGTGAGTCACATGCTACAGTGAGAAAAGAAACAGCCCCTGCCACCAGAAGAGGTAGCAGAGCGAGGCATTCAGCTCCAGGTGCACGGGAAATGATAAAACCAGAGTCACCCAGCACGCAGCCTAAGGAGTACGCACACTGACAGAACACAGAAAGACGGCGGCCAGGAAAGCTCGCTGGTCAATATGGAAGAAAAGTGCTTAAGAATCACCTCAAAATGTTCTCACATTTTCCAACTTGAAATTTCCAGGAAAACCAGTATAAATGAAACTTATGAATATGAACAAACTATCCAAAGAATCATTACACAATAAAAAGTGTTAAAACTTCACATAAGGGCTAGGCGGTGGTGGCATGCGCCTTTAATCCTAGCACTTGAGAGGCAGAGGCAGGAGGATCTGTGAATTCAAGGCCAGCCTGATCTACAAATCGAGTTCCAGGACAGCCAGGGCTACACAGAGAAACCCTATCTAGAAAAAAACAAAACAAAACCAAAAAAAACCAAAAAAAAAAAAAAAAAAAACCCAAACCAAAACCAAAACCCAAAAACAAAAACAAAAAATCCACACAGCATCACTAACAAAATAACCAAAAGACACTAACACGAACTTAAAGATTCTGAAGAAATGGGGCTGGAGAGACAGCTCAGCAGTTAAGAGCACTTGTTGATCTTGTAAATGATCCAGGTTCAAATCACAACACCTACAATGGTGGTTCACATCCATCCTTAACTCCACTTCCAGAAAATACAATGCCCTCTTCTGCCCTTGAAGGGCATCAGGCAAGCTTGTGAAGCGCTTGCATTATGCAGGTAAAACACACATACGAGAGAGAGAGAGAGAGAGAGAGAGAGAGAGAGAGAGAGAGAGAGAGAGAGAGAGAGAAGAAGAAGAAGAAGAAGAAGAAGAAGAAGAAGAAGAAGAAGAAGAAGAAGAAGAAGAAGAAGAAGAAGAAGAAGAAGAAGAAGAAGAAGGAAAAAACAAAAAACCCTCAAGAAATATCACAGCCAGCCAGGCATGGTAAGTCACAGCTGTGATCTCAGCACAAGGGAGGCTGCAGCGGGAGGCTGGTCACAGAATGGAGGCCAGCCTGGACTACAAAGTGAGTTCTAGGACAACCAAGGTTACATAGCAGAACCCTGCCAGAAAGAGAGAGAAGGGAAGGGGTCCAGTTTATTACTGAACAGCATTCTCCACAAAAGCCACTCTTGCTGTACAGCATTCGCACCAACACGACCTTCTGCTCCAGGACCTGTCAGCATGGACTGATGGCCAACTAGAAAGCTTTTCCTCTTCAGGGGGCATGGCTCCTCCTGCTTTTTCTTTTCTTTTCTCTCATCATTCTGGGGATGGAGCCCAGGGCCTCGAAGATCCTTGGCCAGTACTTCACCACCAGCCCAGACTTTTATTTTTGTTCTTGAGAAGCCCAACTTTCAAACTGCACCTCCCTGGTTTCTGATGAAGAGGCAGCGCTAGGACAGAGCTCCAGCTGGAGCCAGGGGCCACGGTTACCATGGGTCTTGTTAGTTTGCCCCGCTCTAATCTGGTTTTCGACTTCCACTCCCCCTCCTACCCCCCAAAAGAAGTTAACAGTGGTACCCTTGCTAAGTATTCAGTTCACAGAAAGGAGACCTAGAAAGTCAAGGTGTTTTTGCTTTCCCATTCACTACTGTGTGCACGTGGGACAGCTGTGGCAGGCAGGACAACTCTCAGGTCCTCTTCTCCAGCATGTGGGTCTCAGGTTCCAACTCAGGAGAGTTGATAAGATAAAAGAAACATGTTTGGAATGGAACTGCAATGAGGTTTCACAGCAAACTCAAGGTTTCATGTTTAACCTAATCAACTGCATCTACTTAAAAAAGAAGAAAAAAAAGCTTACTTGAGGTCTGGTTCATGTGTTATCTACACAACTAAGAAGCAAGAAATCTGGCCAAGGTTTACCCTGTCTCACTAAAGAAACCAGTCCCGGGGGCTGGAGAGATGGCTCAGTGGTTAAGAGCACAGCACTGCCTGCTCTTCCAGAGGTCCTGAGTTCAATTCCCAGCAACCACATGGTGGCTCTCAACCACCTCTAGTGGGATCTGATGCCATCTTCTGGCATAAAGTTGTACATGCAGATAAAACACTCATATACATAAATAATAAAATCTTGAAAGAAAGAAAGAAAGAAAGAAAGAAACAAACAAACAAACAAACAAACAAACCAGTCCCATCCCACCCTACCACTCTGGTTCAGCTCTAACTGTAAAATGTAGTCCTGCCACCAGGTGAATACAGGCCTCAAATGCTCCACTGGAATGCATCCACAGCAGGAAGCTGGCTGGGGCCCAGCAATATCTTGGAAATACTTTGCTCCTCAGCCCTCAGCTTCCATTCCTCGCTAGAAAATCCCAACAGAACTCAGGAGAGCTATATTTGGGATTTTGAGTCATAAAGCAAGCACAGAGGTCCAGGAGGGATGCAGGGTTTCTATCAGGTCCTAGGGTCAGGGCAAGCCTCCAGCACATCTGTTCCATACCCTGGGGGCCCACTGAGATACAGCTTAGTGTGTACTGGGGTCTCATGTTTTAGTGAGGCTTGACTGAATCCTAGGCTGCTCAAGGGACTCAATTTACAACGCCTTCTTCCTTCCGTGGAAGTCAACAGAGTTCAACGTCCCTAAACCATTGGGTCCTGGGGTGGCCTTTCAGGTAACCAGCCCTCATCCTGCAGCCAGGGATCTAACTTAATTTCTTCATCAGCCTAACAAAGACTATCACCCAGAAAATCCCAGGGTTTTAAAGATCATGCCAGAAACCAAGGATAAAGACCAAGTTCTTCAACATACACCACCAGCTTGTGTCAGAGGCCTGGGCAAAAGTAGAGCAGTGAAGTGGAGGTCGGCCTGGGCTACAGTGTGAAGCCCTGGCTCAGAAAGACAGAACAGAACAGAAGCAGCCCTGAGTACACACCCTCTAGTTACCCACAGGCACCTGACATGAAAGACAGCTCAGAGGATTCTGTGGCCTGAAACTTTCACCTGATAAATAACCACTCTGTTTATAGTTTTGATTGTTTTAAGGCAGCGGCAAGTATTCTTTAAAAAAAAAAAAAAAAGTAATTCTATGCCTCACACTAATTTTAAAAAACTCAGTGTATCTGAATTTTGAATCTTTTATTCTGACAGTTTCATCCATGTACACTTTGTATCCCGCACCCCCCCCATGTCTTATCTTTCACTTATTTTACTGTAGTGCAGCCTGCTGCAATACTGACAATCTTGTGAGGCAAACAACAACAACAAATTCGGAAAAAAGAAAACAACATAAACATAAACTAGAATGTTACTAGTATATGGTTTGCACCGACATTCAAATGTACTAGGTAGTTTAACTGCTTCTAGTTATGTCCAGATTTATGCAACTCTACCACAAAACATTTCAGAATATTTTAAACAAGATCTGTCTCCTACCCACTCCATACTTATCTTCATTCTTTGTCCTCTACCTCACCAGGTTCCTCCAATCACAAATTTTTTTAACCTATTTTCTAAATATGTTACATAAACAGAAACAACTTCTTTTATATCTAAACATGGATGAGCATTTCAGCCCTTTCTGTGGCTGAAATTGTATTGATATACATTTCACTGACCTTTGAGCTACCATTACAAACTAGGCTAGAATATTTCCAAAATACTCTTAGGTATTTATCTCTATGTTGAACTGCTAGGTCTCATGTACTTCTGAGTTTAGTGAGGTCCCCACCCCGCTGTTGTGGATCAGACCAAGGACCCTGTGGTGCTGGTAAGCACTCTGTAGTTGAGCTATACCTTCAGTCCTGTTAAGCATTTTGATTTACTGATTTGCAGCGCTGGGGACTGATATCAGGGCCTTGTGCATGCTTGGTTACAGGACACCCCGACTCAAGTTAAAAAAGACAGTGTTAGAGCTAGGAACCTCCACGACTTTGTGTGGGTTCAAATTCTGCAGTCCTGTTCTTGCTTTGTGTATATATATATGAATATGTAGATAGCCCCACCATCATGAATAAAGACTCAATGTACCTTTGCCAGATGTCCAGAAATTGAGTGATAACAAGGACAGCAAGTATTTTTCAAACATAACCAAGTTGCCTAAGATACACAGAACTTTGTAGTCAAAAACCACACTCTTCAAATCTAAGAGCATTTGCCCACAAATTAGCCATGAACTAAATGAAAAAAAAAGTGGGCTAGAGGTATAGCTCAGTGATAAACTCCTGCTCAGCAGGTGTGAGGCCCTGGCGCTCAATCCCTGGTATCTCTTGTACCCTCAGAAAACGATTTTCTAAATTTTTAATTAAAAAACAAAGCAGGTACAGTAGCACATGTCTGTAATCCCAGCACTTAAGAAGCTGAGGCAGGAGGATCAGGAGTTCAAGGCCATTCTTGGCTACATAGTTTGAGGCCAACCAAGGCTACATATGATCCTGTTTCAAAAAGAAAAATAAACCAGGCATGGTGGCGCCCGCATGCCTTTAATCCCAGCACTTAGGAGGCAGAGGCAGGCGGATCTCTGTGAGTTCAGGGCAACCTGGTCTACAGAGTGAGTTCCAGGACAGCCAGGACTGTTATACAGAGAAACCCTGTCTCAAAAAACCGAAAGTTTAGAAAATAGTCTCTGAAATAACCATTGAGCTAAAATATTTATTTTATTTTATTTTTAAAGAAAAACTGGGCTGTGGATACAGCTCAATGGCAAAACATTTGCTTTTTGTGCCGAGATTAATACCATTAAACAAAACCCAGGAAGGGCTGGTAGGGTAGGCCAGCAGGTAAAGACACCTAGCACCACACCTGACCACCTCAATTCATCCCCAGAACCTGTACGGTGGAAGAAGAAATTGACTGCTCTCACCTTCACACCCACATTATGATGTGCAACATTTTATTTACATGTGCAAAGTAAATAAATGTAATAAAAAATAAAACACTGT